TATGTGGTATGTAATATTATATTATGTACTTTAAACCTTGTCTTAGGGCATAACTTTATCTATTTATATATATGAAGTATATTGGTGTGTATTTATTTGGGATAAAGTAATTGATAAATGTTTTAATTTATCCCACACCCCCACCTCCTCCCCTTCCCTCATCCTACACCCACAACCTCACCTCCACCCTTTCCCTTTCCCCCACCCCACACCCACACCCACACCCATAATCCTTTCCCTTTCTCCTCTCTATACCCACACCCCCACACTTTTATCTCCACCACCTTTTTTTCCCAAACCACAACCCTTCCCCCTCCCCTCACCTCCATCTTTACCCATTTCTCTATACCGCAACCCCTCTCCCACACTTTCATCTCCACCCTTTCCCGTTATCTCACCTCACAACCCTTCTCTTTCCCATCTATCTCACCCCCACCACACCACTCCACCCAACTCCAACTCCAACTCCCACCCTTACACAATACTTTATTACTAAGATGAAGATGAGGATTTGAAGCAGTCAAATAATGTTGTCATGGGTAATGCCAAGAAACAAGTGCAGGGGATTAAGAAGTCAATCAAATAATGATTATGTTGTGAAGAATGATAGTGGTGGGGATAGTGATGATGGCGAGGGTCAGACACTCTAATGGCAATTTTGCTGATAAAGATTCTAACCTAAATAGTAATGTGAATGGTAAAGAGAATGGAAGTTTTGATGTACACAAGGGGAATGGGTGGGGCAAAGTAGGTATGGGAAGAGGTTGAGCAAGAAGGACTCATTTGTAATTATATAAAATGTGTTAAAAGACTTATTTGTAAATATTAATTTTAAATAACAAAAAATAAATTATGTGACATGTCACATAGGCAGTGACTAAGCCTCGAAAAAGCTATGTAGAGTGTTGAGCTGGTTGTGTCAGTTCAACACTTAACAGAGAGGGGGTTATCATAAAATGATAAACATTTATAGAGACGAAAAATATAATTAAGCCTAATTAGTATTAACATCTTGGCCATATTTACATTAATTGGCAATATTTTTATAAAATTTAAATTACTCAACTGTTAAATTATTGAAATATACGATTATATAAAGATCAATTTAATACAACTAGCTCTTACATAGCAGTTTCTAAGAAAAATAATACATGTTCAAGACAACAGCTTCAAAATAAAATGAATGAATCATTCACTTAGAAATTTATAATCGAGATAATCAATATATGTTAAATTAATGAGTTTGCTAAATAATATAAATAATTTTAATTTTGAAACAATGTCAACAAACATACCATGATCCATCAACATCAACGTAAAAAGATTTGTAAAGAGAAAACAATAGAATTTTGAAGGGTGATTCCAGTAGATTGAAAGGTGTAGAGAGAAAATCATAAGGATACTTACTTGATTAATGATGATAACGACAATCTCCTAGTGCACAATTCCTCGTCTACCTGTTGAGCCTTCCCTCTATGAAAAAATGTATGCCTATTGATGTTCTATAAGAAGAAGAGAGACTACATTTTTGAAATCTTTTTGGGGTTTACAAATTACAATTGGGGTTCTCAATTTTATACCCTAACCTTACAGGAGAAAATCTTTTTTTTTTTTTTTGTTTAACAAGTAAAAGTTTTTCTAACCTTAAATATTTTATATATTTTTTAAAAATATTATTTTTCATTTAAAAATTATATATGTATATATATATATCAAATTTTATTTTTAAAATATTAACGTAAGTTAAATAAAAAATATTTTAAAAATTTTAAAAATTCAAGAATTTTTTTCTTTTAATAATTAATATTTTGTTATATTAAAAATAAGATTATTATTATTAAAATAGAATTTTCAAAAAATTATTAAAATTAAGATACATTGTCATTTAATATATCATATGTTAAATTTGAAAATTGAATATAGATTAATATGTATTAAATTGACAATGATATGAAAATTTTCATAGATAAAACATTTGAAAGTAGGGTATTTAAAAAAATTTTAAAATTAAATAAAATTTATAAATAAGAAATTAGTAAATATTTTAAATGTTTAAATATATTATTATAATAATTTTTTAAGATAAGACTTTTAATTTTAAAAATTAAAAAATAAATCATATGATATTTAGTGAATTAATATAATTATATTTAAAATTATTGTAATCATTTTTGGGATATTATTATTTTAATTTTCAATAGAACAATTATAAAAAATGAAACAGTATAATAACTAATTATTTAATTATTTTTAATGTTATAATTTTATAGTAATATTATAATGTTTATATTTAATTTTATATACTATGATAATTGAATTATTTTAAAACAGATAAATTATATAATAAATTATACTAATTTAATCTCTTTTATATATATTTTATTATATTAAAGATAAATAAAAGTTTAACTGTGTGGATAAGGTAGAAATCAAAATTAGAAGTCAATTTTTTACATAAAAAAATTATAGATTTATGTTTATAATTTAAATATTAGATAACGTAAGTTAAATATTGTTTTGCTTTAAAACCATTTTGTGTTAATGATTTTGATCATAATTATAAAATATATTTTAAACTTATTATAATGAATTATAATTATTTTAAAATTTAGACATAAATTAATAATTATTATTTATTATATTTTAAGAACTTAATTATGTTATTTATAAAAATTATTAATTTTATCTTACTAAATCAACATAATATGATGATAATAGAATAATTCTAACAATTTTATATAACATTCAGTAGTTATTCTATATTTTAAATATTGGCCGACAATAATTTAATATTGTTATTAAACATTTTAGAATAATTTATTCAACAACGATTATAAAATTGTTCTATAGACCTAACTTTTATTTTATAATCATTGTTTATTTTAATTTCAGGTAACATCTAATAATTATAGTTTATTAATTTTAACAATAATTTTAATTTGTTATTTATATGAATTGTATATCATTTTTGATATATCAAAAGTATTTTATATATTTTTAAAATATTATTATTTTTCATTTTAAAATTTATACATACATATATATATATATAAATTAGTTTTTATCTTTTAAAATATTATAAAAATATATATAACATTATAGGCATTTAGATTAAAAATTTTCTAAATAAAAATTTAAAATAATTAAGAAAGTATTTTATTTTTAGTAAAATATATTTTATTATATTAAAAATAAATAATTAAAAAATAATAGAATTTAAGAACAAATTCAATTTGTTGTTATAAAAAATATATATTTTATATATTTTTTGTATTTGGTGTCTGAATAACACTTGTCACAATCTAGCAACAAATTTAGCAACTAACAATATTTTTTACAACTCTATAACAAAATTTGTTAGTGGCCAATTCAGTTACTAAATTTTAAAATTTTCATTTCTACTTTAGACTAGATATATCAATGGCTAATTGGGTTGCTTATAGCTACAAAATGTATTTAGTCATTAACTTTAGTAGTTAATTGCTACAAATTTGTTTTGATAGCTAAATTTGGTGACTAATGGCTATAGATTTTGTTTAGTGGTAAATTTGATTATTATTTGTAACATATTTGTTTTGATTGCTAAATTTTATTATAGATTTGTATTAGTTGCTAAATCATGGCTATTTATCATGAATTTATTTTAAAGATTTTATTAACCTCTGCCTTTATTTATAAATAAAAAAATTTTATAAAAAAATACATAATTATTATATTAAAGTTATAAAAATATAATTAATATTTTTTTAAAAAATTTACTATTATTATTGCTTAGCTTTAAGAGTTAAGATTAACAAAATTTTTATTTTAGTTGCTAAATTTGATGGTTATTTACTATGAATTTGGTTGCTAAATTCTAGATACATGCGTAATGTCTATAATTTCCTTAAGAAAGAAATATCTACAGTACCTCGAGAAAAGCAACGCATTTGAATACAATATAACCAATGAAAACATTTTTCAACTAATCAAAGTTTTCAAACATGGTAGATTGAATTAATTATTTACATCTTCCAAAAGCCTATGAAAACAGTGTTGAATATTAGTTAGAGAGGTTTACAAAGAAATTCACTTTTAAATTTTCGTTTCACGAGGTCTAAACAACGAATTTTATAAATTCTAATTTCACTGCAGTTCAATCTTTCTTTAGTTTGAAAGTTTTGAATCTTTCATCTAAAGCAAAGTTTGACAGCGGTACTCATTGAAATTATGCTTAAAGTATGTCATCGGATGATATGAATGTATTAAATTGAATGAGAATGATACGTAAATTATTTGATATAATTTTTTATATTTATCATGAATATTTATTTTATATTGATAAAATTATATTTTATTTTATTTTTAATTTAAAGTTTATTTTTAAGAGTCTTATATTGTAAAATTAGAATCATTAATATATATTAATTATTGATATTTAACTATTTTTTTTACACTGCATGATAAAAGTATTATTTTAAAATAAATTATATTTTAAATTTATTCAATTTTATTAAATTTTTATCATTTTGATGCATACTATTCGTAATTATAATTAAGTTAAAATAATTTTATTATACGTATAATTATTTATAAAATATAAAATTTTATTATTTAACTATTAAATATATATTTATTTTAAAATAAAATATCACTGTATTGCATATACTGCTAAACTAGTTTAATTAGATTTGTTAATGATAAATTTAGTGTTAAATTTAATTTTTAAGCATTTAATATGGTAAGTTTTTATTAAAAAAAATTACACTTAAAATATAAAAGTATAATAAATATTTTTAAGTGAAAATTATAGTAAAATTAATCATAAAATCTGATGTTAAAATAAATTTTGGTCAAGACGTTGGGATTTTCATGACTTAATTCTTTACTCTCTCTTCTTGTTTGAACCATTACTTAATTCTTTACAAGTTTGCGACAATTGTTTTTGGTCCAAACAAGTTGCAACATTAAATTAAAGGCCGGGGCGAACTGGGCCTGATTGGGCTGTAGAGGATAGCAAGCCCAATTCTAAAACGACTCGTAGACGACTTGTTGCCCCTATTTGGTATTCTATGAGTCTATGACAAGAAATGAATACCTCACGGAGGCATATGTTTATGCATATAGGTGATTACTGATTAGCATTCATAGCATCCTTCCCTTCTCGAAAGATCATCGCCTTCAACTCCGGTGACGGTGAGCACTTTCTTCTCACAATTTCTCTACTCTTTTTATTTTCGCCAAAAACTCTCTAGAGAATCTTCCAAACGTAGATCTTAGCACCTCTTCCAATTCTTTTTCCTACACTAACTCCTTTTCGGTTCTTCATAGTAGCGACGCCAACTTCCCAACTCAGCATAAGTAATTCCCTGTGCTAATTTATTTCTCAACCTCGAATCTCAGTTTCGTAATGTAATTATCGATGCTACTTTTCTTTTAACTCAAATTCTCCCGATTCATATATCAATTTGGTTTTGATATTTGATCATCGTTTTTCGGTGCCTGTACAATGTTATCTGGACTATCAAAATCGACCAATCTTCCATGCATTTAATATTTAATTGCTTTAACGAATCTCGGAATGAATCAACATCTTTGTTGCGTTGCGATTATGTTTCTTATTGTACATAAACATAGCCTCAGTAGAGCGTCTTGATTGCGCATGCGTTGAGCAACATTGTTGTGATGGTCGCCAGTTTGGATAAATGCATCATCAACATCTGTTAGTTCCCAAAAACCTAATTGATGTGTCCCATGACACTATGAGGTTCTTTATGAGTCGTTTGGACGAGTAAAATGATGCATAAAATAATCGTTTTATATTTGGATTACACTAATAACTTTTTATTTACTGTATTTTATAATTGAATGACTGAATATGAAGATTTACTGAGTTTTACATTGCATATCTTTTGCACACATACAAGCATAGTATGTTGTTGTGCTTTTTTCTGCATGACCCTGTTTGGTCGAAGTAGAATGCTAAATATAAGTTCTGCTTTAGGTTATTTTCTGATGCCTCAATTAAATATCTTTGGATGACTAATATGGCCCTACATTTGCCTTTTGTTGTAGTTACTTGGGTATCTTTTTAGAAGGGTCAGTTCTGTCAATTCCTTGGTCCAAGACTTTGCAGCTGAACGATCAGCATGGCAGGTCAATGCTCCAATGAAGGCTCTAGTACTGGAAATATTTCGGCAGAGTGTTCAGATTCAACTGTTCAGCTCAATATTAAGACTCTAGATTCCCGCATCTTCAGTTTTCAAGTGGACAAAAATGTAATCTGTAATCTCTATTCCTGTCATGTTTTTCAAGTCCTTTTCTTAGGTACTATCTGTAGGTTAGGGTATACCTCTAAAACGATCTTCAAAATCATTTCAGATGCCTGTTTCATTGTTCAAAGAGAGAATTGCAAATGAAATTGGTGTTCCAGTTAGTCAGCAACGGTTGATATTTAGAGGAAAAGTCTTAAAGGATGAGCACATTCTATCTGAGTATTGTATCCTTTGAATTGTATATTTTTTTTCTCATCAGCTTCATGCTTAGTGAACCTGGATTTTTCCTAGTTTTAAGATGATGTGTTTTATCTTATAAGTGAAATGCATTATATACATTTGATATCTTCTCTTTATTCAACATCCTTAGTAGTTTGGCTTTTAAAAAACTTGGATTGCACAGAAGGAAAGGCTATGGCTTGAGAAACATTTTTTTTCCGCAAATGGCGAAATGGGTTATTTGAAACCAAACTGTGGTGTTTATCGATTTATTTTATAACCTAACCTAATCCTTAATCATTTAAGATGTTGAGAATGGGCATACATTGCATTTAGTTGAAAGACAACCAAATCAATCACAGACTTCTGGTACAAGCTCTGGTGAGCCAAGTGGTACAAATGGTAACCGAGGTATAACTTAATCCTGTACTGATGGTCTTTTTTTCCCCCCTTGAGGTTATAACCTTTTTAATATGCATATCAAACATCTATTGTAGTATTATTGTACTATGCTAATGATAAATTGCATTATTTGAAAGGAAATGATGTAGCCTCAGGGGCTCCTCGCAACCGTATTGGACAAATTTCACACAGTCTTGTTCTCGGGACTATTAATGTGGTTGAACAAGGTGAAGGCTTTGTTCATGACCTCTCTCGGGTTTGTTACTGTGTTCTTTGCGTCTATCTTGAGTAGTTCAAATTCATGCATGCTATTCCATTCAGTTTTTAGGCAGGTGGTGGAAAATAATGGTTTGCTTTGGTATTGCCTTTGAAACATTATATATTGCTGTATTTTCTTTTCAGGTTATTGGGCAGGTTTTGAATTCTATTGGAAATGGTGGCCAGAGCACTATTAGTGGTCCTAATGCTGTCCAAACTTCTTCGGTTAGTATAACATTTTGCTTTAATAGATGTTCATGTATTGCCATATTTTTCATAATTTCTCTGCACTGAGCAATTGTATGCGCATAGTTAATTTTCTTATCCATGAAAGAATCTGAATTTAGTTCACAGCCATTTTATCGTATAGGTTTTTGATCTCCTTGTTATTTGAATTCTCCTTACAACATGGCATAGTTATTGCTATTTAGGTTCCTTCTACTTATCCATTTGATGTCATCTAATTTTGGAATCTTGATTTTCCATTTTTAGTGCAATGAATAAATCTTATTTCACCTTACAATACTATCATGATATTGTCAAATCCCCTTATTTGTTATCACACTTTACTTTGTGAATAGAATTGATACAGAACACAGACTTTTACACGCAAATTGATAAATAATGTTTTGCTAGATGTATTCTGCAATACATATAACCTTTGAATTGCTAGATGTTTGTATCTAAACTGATACCCAAATCTATCTTGTCAGGCTCTCCCAGGGAATGAAACTGAAGGAATGCATGCTGGAAATCCAAACCTAGCAGGAAATCAAGCACCATCTGGACAGACATTCCCTGGTCAGGCATTCCAATCTATGTCTCATGTTGTTCAGATTCCTATGGCTGCAGGAGCCATACCCCTTCCTTCTCTCAATGCAGTAGGAACATAGTCTCTCTTTTCCATATCCTTCTAATTTTTACTTGTGGAAATTTAAGGCATTCTTGATAACAACTATTTTTTCCCCTTCATTTCAGCCAATTCCTGATTCATTGAACACTCTGTCTGAGTTTATAAATCGCATGGAACAGACACTATCACAAAATGGTAATGATGTTGAAATTGTTTCCCTTTCATTTAATTTGGAAGGACATTGAAATATTTTCATTTGCTTATGCAGGTTATAGGTCAAATCCTTTGTCGACTAACCCTGGAGATCAGCGAGGGGAGTTGCCTTCTAATGCACAAGGGTTGCCAACACTTGAAGCATTAAGCACTGTCTTGCGTCATGCAGAACAGTTACTTGGTGGTCAAGCTGTTGCTGCGCTATCTGTAATTAACATATCCCATTTACAAATATTCATTTTCCCTCTTAAAGATATAAACAGTTTTCTACTATCTGCGACCATAGGATATTAACTGGCAGTAAGACTTGTACATTATAGATTTACTGAAAAAATAAGGATGGATGGAAGTTGCATAGGATAATCCTAAGTAAGTTCAAATTTTGGACAAAATAAAATTGTATTGCACCTTATAAGCATGAATGTGCTATGTATTTGTGTTTGGAGAAATTAAAATACTGTTAAAATGACTGGCATTTGGAGTATGCATATTTCATAGGTTGATTGTGAAAAAAAAAAAATATTTTATGAACTGAAAATAATTGGGAAATTTTTATTTAAGACGTTGAACCACAATAAATTTATTGAAGTGTAACTAAACCTTTACTTTGATGGATGGAAATTACTAATCTTAGTAAGGCTTGGTCTTGTTGGACTGTGTAAGACCTGTAATTTTATCCATCATGTCAGCTGCAGTGTAGTTAAACCTTATTGCATGCTCTCTTGTTAGATAAAAAACCTCTCATTTTCTGATATCTTATTGTCCATCCTTGACCATAACCATTTATTGTTGATGCAATGATACATAAATCTCTAACCAAAACTGATTCTAAAATTATTTCTGTTTAACATGAAAATATTGCTATCATAATGAAGCACATATTTCATTTTAGGATTTGTTGGTCTGAACTAGCCTACTATTTTCATCCTTTATCTTATCTGATTATTTTTACTTGTAATTTGCGACTCTAGCATATTGCAGGACGCTTGGAAAGAGAGGGTACTTCTTCTGATTTACAAATCAGGGGTCAAATACAGTTAGAGTCAACACAAATAGGAGTTGCTATGCAGCATTTGGGTGCACTTCTACTTGAACTTGGCCGAACAATGTTGACACTGCGTATGGGGCAGTCTTCTGTATGTTTTCATTCTTTTCTTAGGTGATTTGATATACTGTATTGTATCAACATCTCACTTGTGATCATGCTCAATTTTCAGGCTGAATCTGTTGTTAATGCTGGACCAGCAGTTTATATTTCTCCAGCCGGGCCAAATCCTATAATGGTGCAGGTTTGTCAGTTATATTTGATCTATTCTGATTTTCATTAGTGGTGATGCCACATGCCAAGTTCAATTATTTTAGCATTAGCTGGTGTTTTGATCAAGTTCATTAACCTGCAGTGAACTATTCGCTGTTGATATTTCATATTTCAGAACTGGAAAGTATAAATTCTACATGATTAGCATGGTTTAACATCAAATGAATTGTTGATAAAGGATTGAATTTGAAGATTCGAGGACAGTTGATAACCGTTTCATTTAAAAACCACATTTTGGATACGATGTTTCATTAAAATATTCATTGTGCTACATGAGTCTCGCAAAACTTTTGCTGCATTCAACTTTTCATATTGGAATAGATTTTGTATTTGACTTTTAACAGTTAACATATTTTACTGTATGATTGATTGGAAAATATATACACATTACCCTGTATGCTTAAGACTTGATGCAGTCAGAAACAATATAAGCTAAATTTCTGCTAATATGCAAGAAAAAATGGTTGATATTCATTTAATTAGATTGTACCAAAGTAAAATCTGTTGGTAAAATGCCAGATTTCTGACTTCTTCCTTTGTGGGCTATTTTGTTAGTAAAATTGGGCTTGTTAGAGAGAACCCAAAGATCTCCAAGAATAAAGAGTTCAATAACTTTTATGAAAATTGATGCTTATGCTATATTTTAACTGCAAACTAGTTACTACACTTAAAAAAATAACTGCTCTAAGCTATCCATCCTATGAAATATAAGATATAGAAAACTGCCCATCCTAAGAAAAGTCGTCATAGAATCATTCAAACATAGGAAAACTGCCCATACCAACAGGTGATAGTATCAGTCTAACGGATTAAATTATTTATTATCTAAGCATATAATACACTAAACAAGCACAGAGCATGCAAGGTTTTCATTGTGTTACGAACATGGAGTTGATGAAGTACTAATGCCAAAAACTAAAGACATTAAGTGAAGATGTTACTTGAAGTGTGGATAATGTTTAGGTCCACCTATCTTGTGCTGAAATTCAACCTTATAATTATTAGAGGAAGTATTGAACTCCAGACCATTTGATGATAAAAGCTGTGATATCATGTATGAACCGACTATCCCAAAAGCCTAAGCTGTTGGTGAAAACACGTGATTGGTGTTTATATTCTCTAACAAAGCATAATATTATGTAGGCATAATAGTTGACACTTGATTCTTCAATTCTTCCTTTGCTTTTGCTGACAAAGTGACAAACCATATCCTAAGGCAATATTTTAGCAACCAAGATTGATTGATCTGAGACCATAATACTAGCACAACCATGAGGGTGAGAAAAAAATTCAGATTATTAGATTACTCGAACACATTAATATAACAGTGGAGTCATAGACCTATCTTTTGCATCTTCCTAACTGATTGTTGGTGTTGCAGTATTGGTAATTTGAATTTCAATCATGTTATTTGGGGTCATGCCATTCAGTCATGGTTCACTGGGGTTGGGTAATTGTGTGTGCTCATAGAAGTTCATGTTCATCACTGAAATCTACAGTATATTTAATGATGACTTCACTGAAACTTGTTCCTATCTCTGAATTGTTTGATAGTTTTTATATTTATCATTTCTGGTTCTGCTGATACTGTGCTATTTTCAGCCTTTTCCACTTCAGACAAGCTCCCTCTTTGGTGGTCCTGTTCCCTCTTCAACTCCTGCAACTTTAGGAACCATTGGTATTGGAAATGCTCCTAGGAACGTAAACATTCATATACATGCTGGTAAATAAAACTAATTGTACTTCTACCTTTGAAATATCCAACTTCCATTAATTTTGCTTCCTACCAGGTACCGCCCTTGCACCAGTGGTTTCAACAATTGGTTCTAGACCAAATAATGGAGAAGGGACAAGAAGTGAACGCCGTAGTGAGCCTGGCTCTGGTGATTCAGGTTCAACACGAGTATTACCTGTTAGAAATGTTGTAGCAGCTACTCTCCAACCACACCCTCCTGGTGTTGGAGTCTCTAGTAGCACACAAACTGGGTTTGGTGTTTCTACTTCACAGCCTCCTTCTGATTCAGCTTCATTGTCATCTGTTTTGGCTGAAATAAATTCTCGCCTTAGAAACGTTGTTGGTAACATGCAAGGAGATAACATGGTTCCATCAGGTGGTGACCAATTTATTGTTTTGATACATGTAGTCTCTCAATATGTTAGCATGTAATTTCAAAATACATTTTGCATCCTGTCAGGTCAAGTGGAATCAAACAGCAGAGACTTGTCTTCTGTATCTGAATCAGCATCTGCACAGGGAAATGAACAAGAAGATACAATGGGGATGAATGGCTATGGCTGTGCTTCTGAAAGCGGAGCACAGAAGGTAATACTTTTGCTTCTACCTGGTGATACATCTGTCCCCAACATGTGCTTGAATTGATATATTTGCCTCTCAATCACAACCAGCCCCAAACTGAGGCAGTCCAAACCTGTAGTAATGACGAGAGAGATGTTTTGGTTAACGAACTAGTTTCAAGTTCTTCCAACCAAGATTTACAAAGTGGTTCTGGTGGAGAAACAACAGTAAGATCAGAAAAAGAACAAGATGCCCCATCTGTAAGTGAAAGACAAGATGTAATTGAACCTGCCAAAGCTGCTCCGCTAGGATTGGGTCTTGGTAGTTTAGAGCGCAAGGTAAGATTATTGGTTTCGTTTTGTTAATAAAATGCCTGAATTTCCCAATTTGATGTGGTATACTGGGCATATAGATTTTTTGCTATGATGATTGAGTGGTATGTGTGTAGTGTTTGAAAGGCTGCTGAACGAGTGTTCTGATTCTCTTCAAATTCATATTTGCCTTTGCTGAAGTTACATAATATTATGTCTTTTGCAGCACTCACCTCCACTCTATATTTTATCTACATGAACACATTATATTATCCAGTATGTATTGCTATAAAGTAATCAATTTAAACATCCTCTGAAAACTAGCGCAGGTGAAAGTCTGTAGGATTGTGTCTTGGCAATTGAAGAAAATATTTTTACTATGTACTTGTTAGAAACTGAAAACATATAGACACTTAGAGTGTGATAGTTTTATGATACTGGTTCATCAGATGCCTCATTAGATGTTAGTAACTTAGTATACTTGGATGTATCAAACTCAAACTGTGACTTTTAGCTATAAATCCCATTCTTTGGGCAGGCATTTGGTTGATGAAAAGCCATTTTGCTGCTTATATCAAATCTAGTGCCATTCTTTTAACCTGAAGATAATTTTGGTGCACATCCACGGCTGTACCAAATTTAATGTGTGGGGATGCTTATATAAAACTGTAGAAATTTCAGTTTGCCACGACAGGGGCTGGTTTATCATGAAAGGCTCCCATGCCCTTCTCCAACAGTTGTGTGGGGCTTGCTCGCATTGTTCTGGAAACATTTATTTATTTTTAAATATTTTACATATGTGGTGTGGAATGGGGATATTGATTTACTTTTAGTTTGGGAACTTGCACTACAATGGATGGATTACTGATAAACCATTCATTTGGCGGGAGCAATGTGTTGTGAAGAAAATTGAAAACTAATGAAATTTTGAAACATATGGAGTGCGTTATGTAATTTTTTACACAATGTCATTGTCAGCAATGCAGTATGAACATAATGAATTTAAGCATTACCAGAGTCTCAATTGGCATGATTTGGAACTTCTAATATCTTACGCTCTTTTAACACATTGCATGACTATATTCTTGACTTATCCTTTGTAAATTTGAATGCCTAAAACAGCGGAGAGCTAGACTTCAACCTTCTGTAAGTAAAGGTGCTGACAATGGATCATCCAGTTCCTCTGTCAATCAAAATCAGCAAACCACAACAGATGGTCAACATATATTGCAAACCCTTGCGAGTCATGGATCTTCTGAAAATTCAAGAAATGCTAATGGTCCATCTCAGCGGCCCTTACCCTCCAGTGATCGCCCAATTGATGTAGCTGGTTTAATGTCTCAGGTTTTACATAGTCCAGCTTTGAATGGTTTGTTGGAGGGAGTTTCCCAGCAAACTGGAGTTGACTCACCTGATGGCTTGAGGAATATGTTGCAACAGTTCACACAGAGCCCACAGATGATGAACACAGTCAATCAAATTGTCCAACAGGTTGGCAGTCAGGATGTGGGTAATATGTTTGCAGGAATGGGAAGAGGGCAGGGTGGTGGTATTGACTTGTCAAGGATGTTTCAACAGATGATGCCCATTGTATCTCGAGCCCTTGGTGGTGGAAATCCTCCCTCACTATTTTCTGGTGCAGAAGCAGAACCCCATGCACCCTACAGAGATGGAACAGTTAACAGAGATGAATATTCTGATAATCCAAGTTCACAGGTTTGTATAGATGTACTAACACTGGCCATATTACTAGGCTTCCATGTTTAGTAACTTCAGTGAGCTGTTAAGAACAAACATTTTCTGTGGATAGATAGTTGTGGCACCAAATGAAAGTCCTCTTCCATTAGTTTTGGTTTACTGGATTCTAATATATATTAGATTCTCCTCCTCTCCCATTTATGGTATGAGCTGTCAGTTTCTTCTTTGACAGCAATTTAACATGAAAATAGTCAAGTATCATTAACATGTTGCATTCATGTGACAACTTGATGCTGTATCTTTGGTTTTGTTCTATGAATTGTTCTGGCAGTACTTCGTTGATTTTTGACAATGGTGGTTTCTAAGTCCTACATGGAGCCCACTTGTACCTCCCAACATCCCTGAAAAGGATTTTTGGCTGCAGGCAACATTTTTAAATAATTTTTTGGTTATCAACAATGAAGTTGCAAAATAAGGGAATTTTGGTAAAAAAAATTCAGGCACAATATGATTTTATTTTTGGCCTTGTCAGGAGGGCTGAATTGTATCTCTTCCTCTTTTTATTTCGTCATGTCCATCTCTGACAGTCCTGCCATGCTACACCTGAGTCATAAATTCTTATATTCTTTTGTTGTATTTATCATCAATGATCTTCCTTATGTTAGTCTTATATGTGGAGTGTTGTTGCTAAATGAAGCATGGCTATATATTAATACATCTATTTTATAAGCTGAAAGACCGTATTAGTAGTCATATTATGACTTTTTCCTTATCTTCTCCAGCTTCAACCTCTGGCTGAGAGAATTGAGCACCTCTGTCCACCCACCGATGTTTTCCGTGCAGTTGCTGAAAATGCTGTCCAGCTATCTGGCAGTGGAAGTGCTTCTAACGATCTTCTGGATGAGTTATGCAGCAATGAGAGTCTTGCCAGGGTAAGCGTTCACTTTATGTGATATGTTTTGCGAGCTGAAAGTTGCTTGTTGGACTGCCTTTATATGTTGATTTGTAAACCACTTAAGCTTTTACTTGATTATTTGTACACAATCTCGTCAACAATTGACTTTCTTGGTTATGCAGGAATATGTGGAGATGTTGCGATGTGATGTAAGTCAGCTGCTCAAGGGACATTCTGAACCGGACAAATCCTAAGCTCTGAATGGATAGTATTTTAAATTCATTGCCTCTATTTCGTGTCAACTCTTAACCTTCCTGAAAGTCCTAGAAAATGAGTTTTGGCGTGTTGTGCCCTTAATAATGTAATTGGTCTGGATCATTTTGAAGGACTTCCAGATCGTGTGTGAAAATTAATATATACCACATGCCTGACGGTTGTTTCAAATGTAGCATTGAGGCGTTTAATGGCCTCCACTGTCATTTTTATTTAATATCCTTTTAACTATACGCTCTTTGGGGCTTAATTCGGACAGTGGATGCTTGTATCAGTCTTTGTACATCTAGTTCTTCCATTATTTTCAGTACTGAATGACTGAATGCGCCATTGCATTGCAGCAATTTTTTGTGTTTTAATTTGTTATGCTTTATCTTTAAAGGACTGAAATATAATATATTTTACGCTGTACTGAAATATGCTTCCATTGTTTTAATTTGTAACTTTGTTAATGTTTTAATCTGGGCGGGGATTCGTTCATTTTTCTAATTAATTTACGCTGGATTGAAATATAATACATTTTAAGAACAGGGGATTCTACCATTTTCAAAAAAAAAAAAAAAAAAAAGCATTTTCGGACAATGTTCTCATTGTGCATTAAAATCACGACATTTGGTATGTATGATTATTTTTCACTTTTATATAACTTTTGGAGATAACAGTTAGAGAAAATTGTCAATTTTTTACTGTTAACTGTAAGAGTAGATAAGAAGAGAATAACAAATGTTTGTTCCCGCTCTTTGGCAATGAATGTCAATGCTGACCTACGGTGAAATTCGGCAATTGCATTGTATTTGATTTCTTACCAAATGAAAGTGGTTTCTAAACATTTTCTTAGTTATCGGTGAACTTCTGTTATGCAGGCAGAGGAATTTCTCGCTCTGTTAGCAATTTAATCTAGGAAGAAAGAAATACCTTAAAAACTTTTTTTTATTTGAGAGTTCTTTAAAATTAAAAAAAAAGGAGAAATTTTCTTATATGTTCTCTAAAATCTAATATATTGTGAGTTTGTTTATTTTTAAAAAATTAACATTTTAAACTCTTTTCTTTCTTCTTCTAAACATTTAAATAAAACCTTAAAGATTATTTAGACAGATTTTAGAGGTGAAGAGGGAAGAGTAATATTTCATTTTTAAATTAATAAAATTATATATTATCATAAAAAATAAAAAATAATATATTACATGTATCTTAATTTATGATTTCATTTTAAATTTTTTAAAAAATATTAAGAGCTTTAAACTCAGCTTTTAAGAGCTTTTTGGCTCTTGGTTTCAACGAGATTGTTAGAGTGCCCAGTTGCAGTTTGTTTTCTTTGTTTGAAATTGATGTGTTCCTGAAGGCCGAAGTCCATAAATATACCGGGTAGTATGCTGGTTTGGAAGTCGAGCTTGCATGGGAGAATGAGAAGGTATTAGAAATTGATACAAATTTCTAGAATAGTCTAGAAAAAATACTAAGAACAATCTAGGAAAAACTAATTGTATCTTCTAGTATGTAGATGCTTCTAGAGAAAGTTCTAGAATATTGTAAATCTTCAAGTTTCTAGATAGCTCTAGTATATTGAACCAAATGGTGGATGATGCCTATAAATAGGCATGCTACCTCATTGTAAATGCAATGAAGAAGAAGTAATCAAGACAACAATTCTCCATCTCTTGAGTCTCTTACTAAAACTTCTTCAACTACTATTTTCAACTATTCCTACTAACACATTTCAACTATCTTACTCATCTCACCTACACTAAAAACTATCAGAAGGGAATAACATTGACTTCTTTGGTATCATCTCTCCACTTCGAACAGTTCTCATTCGATCATTTGCGTCAACTCAGCTTTAACTAACCTTTACGTTGTTTTGATTCAATCATTGCAAATGAATACTTTGGCTGAAGACGTCGAACGGTACAGTTCAGTCAAACTAAACCAACAAAGGATTTATTGAATAATAATTAGCTGTTAGTATTACCGCAAGTTGTTTCGACCGTTTGCTCCAATGCACCCTTGAAGAGGCGAAGAACATTGCTAGCTCTGCTAAGCTTCGCACGTTAGTTTTGTAGCCAATTTGCTTCTTGTTAAATGCATATATCGGATCAGCCAATAAACAATGTCAATTCTTGTCACGTTCACAAAACACACGGTACTTCTGCCGCATGTTGTTGCTTTCTTTGTCTTTGAGGATGTTTGTTGCCATCAGTACATTGATTTGCTTTTGTCTTTTAGACAGTGCTTTTTGTTCTGCATGCACGTTATGAACCTTGTATCTGGTGACAACCTGTATGCTGGAATGCTGCATGTTCCGGTGTGGGTTTGGAAGAGGTTGAGAAATGATATTCAATAAATGTGTATGATATTTTCTTAAAATGAGAAAATGTTAAAAAAAACCTATGTCTCTGATTAATTACAAAAACTCATGGACTACTTTCAAAGTTTCCAATGCTGAAATCAGCCTTATGTCACACTTTATTTTTTATATAATTAAGATTTGATCTCTCAAAATTCATATTTTTTTTATTTGACATTTCATTTTTAATATTTTAAATAAATTTTTTTATAAAATATTATTTTACTACAAGATGCTTCCTTGAATTCTTTTTAAAATTTTTTTTTTTAGTCTTTTTAAATATTACAAGCTTTTCATTTAATTCTTCATTTTAGGATAACTAAATAGAAAATTCATTATATTTATGAGGATCAAATGAAAAATTTTAAAATATTTAAGGAAATCAAATAAAAAGTCACAAAAAATATATTATAAAAAATCATTTGAACATATTTTTAAAAAAAAGACTAAATAAAAAATTAAAAAAAATTTAGAGCTAAAAAATATAATTAAATTTTTTTATACTATTTCCTGTACCTTTCCTTTTATGGTTTTTTTATTTTTGATAATAAAAAAGAAAGCTTGAAAGACGCAGTACTAAAACTTTTACCGTATTAGTCAATAAAAATTTTCTACACAAAATAAAAACTGAAAAATTTTCTCAAAACTTCAATTGCAAATTTACGTATTAGACAGAAAGTTAGGATGGTAAGGAAGAAAAAGAAAAGTGAAAAACTTTTTTCTTATTTATCAATGTGATGACCTGCGAGGATTTCCTTCAAGGATTCAGCAACAGCAACACCTAAAGGGTAATAATAATTTTATAGTAGTATTTGTTATGTATTCATAGATTTGAGAGGACATTATAAATTTAAAAAGATAAAAATTATATTACACATTTTATAAATATAGATGAATAAATTTGATTAAATAAATAAATAAATTGAGAAAACTTGAAATAATTTATAAATTTACTAAAAATTGTTATTTTTTTAGAAGAAAAATAATCTAAGCCAAAATTTTAGATAATTAGCTATATTTTAAATCATATATACTTTTATTAAAGTTATATTTACTTTATATATAACTACTTTAAAAAATAATAATAAGTTTACTCGACTAATATCAATATTCAATGGTGTATCATATTTTTTTATTTAGTGTTAAAATTTATTAAAAACTATAAAAATTATATAAATGTTATTTTTTTTATATTCTTAAATTAATATTTTTCTTATATTTTGTTAATTTTTAATAAAATTTAGCCAAATAATTAGTGTTAACTTTTCACATATTTAACTCATACTCGTACAAACACAATTGATGAATTACCTATCTTTCAGAATTCAAACTTTGAGTTACAAAGATTAATTGAATTCATTTTTAATATTGTCCAAAGGCTTGCCACAGTAGTAGCTAATAATAGCCCACATGCTCGACTTAAAAGAACTATAGTGAAACCAAATTGCATGAAAGATTATCATGTTTGATATTTATTTGTTTGTTATTGAATTAAGAAAGGTAATATTTATTTGCTTGTTATTGAATTAAGAAAAGTAGCTAGTGACTCATTGATTATTAGTTGATAGGTGGATGGTAATCCTCTTTTCATGTAACGACCTACCTTTTATATAAGAAAGTGTAAATTGAAATGCAAGAGGCATATAATTATTCAGTTACAATTTTCTTGTTTCTTTTCCCTCGCTTGCTATTTTATGGAGAGTCTCCCTCTCTCGAACTAGGGAAACTTTAAAACTATGATGTCTATCATTGGTGCTTTTCATTACTTCCTATGCCTCTCAAACTAGCCCATTTCTCAAAAGAAGCTTTAAATTCTATTTATGAGAAGCTAGCATCACTCTAACTTCATATCGATAATTCACAAGATTCTCTATGAACAACTATGGACATAAGACATAAAGCTTTATCTACTATCATTGCTTGTCTTTTGGACAAGATTATTTCCCTCTTTGACCCTTAACCACCACCTTCATTGCAACCACCCCTCCTTTTTCCATACCCTTCCCATTCACACCCAAGCTCCCTAAATTACTAATGCCCACCTTTGATGGCATTGATGTCCTCGATTGGATTTTCCAGGTAGAGTAGTTGATGTGATCCAGTCTAAGCACCCAGCAGAGACGAGAGAGTTGGAGGCTTGCCATGAGCCTATGACCAGGGTTAGGGCCAAGAAAGCTCAACAGGCCTTATCCACACTTGTAGTACATTTAGAGGCCCACCACATGGAGGTCATAAGATCACACATGTATACGCTTTTTACTTGCATTGTTCATGTTTAGAAGAGTTTATTTTTGGGCCTTGTATTTTGGCTGTGGCCTCGGGAAGCCCATTAGGCTTTAGGATGGAGTCTCTTGTATTTTGTTTGGGCATGTATTAGGCCATGTTTCAGGGTATGTACTCACCCAATCCCCATCCCCTTTCTTTTCCTTGTTTTGGCGGCCCATTATAGACCTTTTTGGGGCCTTGAGTTAGCTTGCCTATATATAGGTTAAGCTTCTTTGTAAATTTTCATATTAAAATCATTTGATGCATTTTTAGAATTTGTCTCCTCTTAGAGTGAGTGAGTTTCTCTCTAAATTTTCTCATTGAAAATTTCATAACCACACTCTTATCATGGATTCTTCCAAGTGGTGAGTTCATTACTACTTATCTCTAATGCTTTGGAGTGGTGTGTTGCATTATTCTTCCATTTTCCTTACTTTCCACTTGCCTTTTATTCTTCTTTGGTGCTAGATCTGTGGATTGCCACACATATATGCTCAAACCTTAGATAAAGTTATCTTGGACAGTCTTATTTCTTGGTCATTCTTGAAGAAAGCTTGAAGGATCACATAATGTGATATCTAGAGCCTCCTCTAAGAGGTATTGTTTCTGCAAATTCTATATTGATCTAGTTGTTATTTCCAAAATTTGATTGCATATTCTCCTTCTACACCTTCATTTTATTAGAAATCCTTTGGCTAAACACGTTTCTGCACTTTGTTTTCCATTTGGTGCCAAATTCAATTGAATTTAAAACATAGATCTACTTAGATCTGTTTGAAATTTTGATGATCAGATTTCATA